TAATGGAAATGAGTTCATTATATTTTCGAAACGTAAACAATTTACGCAATTAGTGACCGAGCATGCGATGCAATAATAACCGCAGTGGCAGCAGCAACAAGGTGCAATCGAGCAAAGCGCCAACTAATGAGCCCGTAGTGTCATAACTACAACCCTCCCACAATAACAGTAACACTAAAGGACGACAATCGTCCTAGACAGCTATAGTCACACACAGACACTCTCAAAGTGGCAGTCAGACAGTCACAGAAATATCACCAGTTCATTTACCTGGGTCACAGTACGTATACGTGTCCTGCAAGTAGCGCAAGGTGGCTCAGCAGGACCAGAACTCCTGGCTTTCACCTGGCCACTAAAAGAAAGAAAAGGCCAATTGAGGGGTTGGCTGCAGTTCATATTTGGACTTCATTCGCCACGCATTTAAGATCCCGGCATCCGCAATATGACGGTCCTCCACAGGTAGATACACTCCAGCTGCAAATGACGTTTGGGAAACAATAATACTCTTTCCTCAAGGCAAAGCAAATGAAAAGCTCAACAAGTTAAAGTTACGGAGGAAAGCTGTGTTTTTCTGTAACATACCATAAAAAACTGCAAGCTATTTAATTTGATTCATTTCACTAAGCCCTTCTTTGCAAAATGTTTATATTTTGCTCTTCGAACGCTTCTATTTGTTGTGGTGTTTATACCACTGTTAAATAACAATTATAAAATTATATTATTTTGTTTCTTTGGGTAAAAGTATTCCTTAAGGCAAAACTAAATATATTAAGATTGTGTTCTGAAAAGCATTAGATATTAGATATTAGGTATTTATAATATATTAAAACAAAAAAAAAGATATTTGATTATAGATAAAGTGGTGTAGTTTATTCACATGAGTTTAAAATTCAAAGCTTAATAACAACATAAAAAGTTATATATTGGTTGCAATAGATAGCTGATCTATTCTACAATTCAAGACCATAAAGTATTTTTAATAAAATGAACAGAGCTTCCAGAAAAAAACGCGTTTGATTACAACTTCCAAAGACAATTTATTCATGGCATTATGGGTCAGCTTAAGGACCCCCATAGGGCATATAAACTTCGATTTCCTTCGCCGTATTATCCACATTGCGAATGGCCTCTAAGTGCATTTAATTTTTACGAGTCCTCGTCTGCCACCGCGTCCCATTGTGCCGCTGATGTTATCCTTGTTGGCATTGTTTTTTGTTTGTGTTGCCATTGTCATAGCCCCGATGCGTGGATGTTACTTGGAGGGGAGGTGGGCTTGGAGTGGAATAGACTCCCAGACCAGGTATGCAGCTATTTACATCATGGAACTCAGTTATAGTAACGACGCCGGAGCACGCGGGTTCGGGGCCGGGGGTCAGGGGTCAGGGGTCACATAGCCAGCACATAGAGACATAAAAAATAATGCATTTTGTGCACGCGAAAAAATACTCGACATAAAGCAAAAAAGAAGTTAAATAAAATTACAACATAAAGTAAGGCAACGAGTGTTCAGTCTGCGATGGTGTGCGAATGTTTGTGTGGGTTTTCGGGCGGACGTTTGCCAGTAAGAAATATCAGAAAATGAAAGACTCGTTGAAAGTTGCGTAAAACTTGCTGAAACTGCCAACTGAGGAGCTACAGCAGCAGCAGCAGCAGCGGCAATAACAGCAATCGCAATAGCAACTGCAACAGCAACAGCAACAGCAACAGCAATAGCAACAGCAGCAACAAGGCAAGGCATTCAAACGATGACAAAGTGGACCCTTACTGCATGTCCTTTAGAATGCGTTGGGCGACGACGCCGCTCCTGGCACTGAGCGTCTGCTCAAAACTTTCAATTTACTCGTCCTAGTCGACGACGGCCATCGGGTCCCCCTTTGAACCCCCGCCCCTGTGCGTTTGAAGCTTTTGTGTTGCCGCTGGGAATACTTTAGTCGAGGCCCCCACTGCAGCAGCGTCATCGCTTTTTGCGATCCTATACTTTTTTCTTTCGTTTGTTTGCTTGCATGTAAGTTGGAAAGTTTGCCAAGGCATATACGAGAATGGCGAAAAAATGGAAAAAACGCTGGAAGAAAATGAGGGAAATGAGGGAAGACCCGGCAGAAGTTTTGTAGTGGCAGCATAACAAGCGCACGGGCAGAAATAGCAACGCGCCGCCCTCAGTTGCAAGATGTGTAATGCGAATTCTCCACGTGAATGTTATGTTTATGTAAAGTGCAGGTCCCACAATGCCAGCCCAACACCATGGAGCTTGTGGAGGAGACAGAAGAACACTGAGACACTGTTGCTGAAGTTCCTGGCCACAAGTGTTGAGTGCTGCTCGCATACAAAGGAATGCGAAACTGCATTATACTATACTGCAGCATAAGTATTTCGCTGGAGCTTAGCTTTAATCAGGGCTTTAAGGGCCAGTACCCCAATCTCGGAAATAGTCACAACTAACCAGATATAATGGAGAGCAAATCCGTGCGGTCATCCGGCAACAAACGAGCCACTAGAGCACGTGGAGTGGAGAATTGTTGAAATTCTGTTGGCTTGCCAAACTTGAAAATCCGCGGTGAGGCGGCCGCTGCTTTTTGCGAATCTCTAATAAACTAGGAGCACTGTCCGGGGCCCATGCCAAAACCATCATGTCAACTGTGCGAAAAATCGGATTTGCCTGCTGTACTTACGAGCACCAGCAACAAAACGTGAAGCAGGACATCACAGCAGCAACATACTTACATAGAAAGAAAATTTGATTATGATATGATGATCAATTTGAAAATTTTGTATAATAATTTGGAGGTGATATGAGAATTCTTTTTAGATATGTATCAAAATGTCAAAACTATTTATATTTTCCTCGAGAACAGTTAATTCTATGACAAAATTTAGAGTTTATTATTCTTGAATAATTTACAAAATTTTGGCAAAAATTTGAAACGGATTGGATCTTAATTGGATATGTAACAATAAATATTTAAATATTTTAAACTTCAAAAATTGCATTATTTTGATGGGTAATGAATGAGATAATGAATCTTAAACAGTTTTAAAAGTTCCATACTTGATAAGATATATTTCACAAGGAGCAGCCTTTTTTCCTGTGTAAAAGCAGCATCCCAGCAAATCCGTGTCCGTCCATGTCGATTGCATTCGGCCATTTGTATTTGTTGCCGCACCGCAATGCTATTACGTGAAAAGCGCGTAGAGGATGTGCAGGATGCGGGGGACACGGAGGAGTCTGAAATCGGACAGGTGCCGAAAGCCGGACCCTCGCCATTGCGGCGACATCGATGGCGGGCGCGCGCTTATTTAGCTGCGCAAACGAGAAATCACAAGTGACGTTAGGGTTTTGTGCCGCCAACCGCAAGCAATAAAAGTCGCCGTACCGATGGGTGGGCCACATTAGCCAGTCGGCCACATGGTCACGAGTCCAGTCGCTCCTGTTGCCCCAGCCGGAATCCTGCATCCTTCAACCTCCATCTTCTGCACTATCACGGGACCGTGGCCGCGTCTGTTTTCATTACAAAATTGCCGGCGTTAGATGGCACCGCAATTGACAATTTGCTTTTATTTTATGTTGACAGTTGGGGAATTTATATGGTAATGCCAGAGGCAGGGAGAGCATGCATTCCATTTGATCGCCGCCCGGTGGCTATTTTTCTTAGTCGCCTTACAGCCGGCCTCATATAGACATATGAGGGCCTGAATAGGACATTTGACATATAGAAAAAGTCAACTTTTTCAATATTTCATTTACGTTTATCCAATAAATAACTATTGACATTATTTAATGACTTGCAAAATTATAAAAAGAATTTTGGTCTTAAAAATATAAAATTTCTGAAGCATTTATAAAAGTGCTGTAAATAATTTATAATCAAATTATAAGAGTAGGTGTAAGGCAATGTTTATTTGCCTTTTCCAACTTTTATAAAATAGTTATAATCAACAATTAGAAAATTAATTCTTAAAAAACAAGACTAATATATTAAATACAGGTGTGTGTTCAATTAGGAAAACACGTACTGCCGTTTTGCCATGTTGTTTTTAATGGGTTATGAAAAATATCGTGTGACTTATTTTTATGATCGCTTTTTTAACGACTCAGTAGTATAAAACGGGGAACAAATTTTGGTTTCTCTGTAGAAGGCTTTCAAGGCGAGTATTGAAAATTAAAGGTGTCATGTTTCGAGGCGTTGGCAGCCCAGATGCCTCGATAGATAAGCTGTCCCGGTTGCTGGGCAAACACGTGTGCAACATGCAACCTACATTGATAGCACGTCCGGTATTTGGTGGAGCCCCTCCTCCGCGAGCCACTCCACTCCATCCGATGTTGGCTGTCTATTAAAAGTGTCAGCATTCTCTGGGGGCGGACAGCCTCCTTTCTCGTTGGCTCGAAGACCATTCATGGGATGTGTGAGCCTTAGACATGACGCTGCCGACTGGCTGGCAGGCCGTCATATATTTATAACATATTCGACCAGTGCGCATCGACTTCGTTCGATGTCCCTGGCAGCCGGGACATTTCATTAAAATCGATGTGCGATATGCAGGCGAAGATCTGGCCGGACTGTCGGTCTTTGGTCAGTCCGTTGGCCCCTTCATTTACGGATGTTTACAGAGCCAGTTGCGCCTTTGAAATTGACAGATGCAACGCGTTTCCATTTTAATTGGCGGCCTTAACGAAATGAGCTGGCTGTCGAGGAGCCGTGGAGTGACCTCGCTTTCGTATCGGTTCAGACCGCCCAGCCATTGACTTGCCTGCTTGCACAGCCCACTTGATTGGCCATCTGCATCCGCATTCGCTGCAATCGTCTGCGCAAAAGTAAATCCTCCTGATTGCAGATTGCACTTTAAGCGTTAATGATTTATTTACCCGCATGGATTTGTTTTAAATCGCGGCCGGAAAGGGCGGGGAATTTTATTTAATACCAGCACCGTAGGCCTTGGCAACCGCACATCCCCCACTTTCAACTATCCTAACTTTCAACGACTGCTCCACGTACTAATTGCAGATGGACCTGTCGATCTGTCAACCTTTTTGAATCACGGTCTGTCAGGTTAGTCTCGCTCTAACTCTTTCTCTGTCTGCCATCCAACTTTCTTCTCTGTTCCTAACTCTCTTTCTCTCTCTGTCTTTCTCTGTATGTCTCTCTCTTTCTGTATTTGCATGTTTCTATCTGCATGATATTTATTTTTTAAAACCTTGTATAAACAGTTCAATATGTGCGCCAAGCCAGCTTAAATAAACAAAATCCAGCATTATTACAATAAGAAAATAAAATCAGAAATCTACCATATACCATATATAAATATATTTATTTGGATGCGCTTGTCCGGTCAGTTTACCAACTATTTGGCGTGCCATTTCCGTTCTCGTTTAAAAACTCGATCAACAACTGAAAACGAAATAGAAGAGCACCGAAAACAAGTTTTAATGTCTGCCATTGAAAGTCCGTTTAGATGGCAGGTGTGCATGTGTGCGTGCTTATCCTGGCGAGGTGTATTTCATATATACATATCCATTTAGCCATTGAGTACATTTCAATCTGTCGACTTGCATGCCCAACCAATTTGTTTTACGGCCATACCATAGCCCAATGAATATGGAAATGCATACACTCGTGTGCAATATGCGATGGATTTCTATGTACCATTTCTTTTTGAGGTCTTTTCGAGTCAATTAATAAAAGCGAATTGCATTCATCTTTATTGCAGATAACGAGATGCGGGATCTGAGCGTCACTTTCTACGGCAGCAGCGCCATCAACCGACAGAAATTGGGCCTCCTGGCCCTGAGTTCCGCCACTCTGGCTCTGAGCCTGCTCGTGGCCTAATTGCCTCGGCTTCGACCTGAGTTACGAATTTCACCGCCAATAGCAGTAAAGCGAATCGATTGACTTTGATCTGGGACAGCCGAAAGATGAATGGAGAATGGAGTCCTTCACAACACTCTAGTCGTAACTGGTAGCCTACGAAATGATCCAGGCATAAGCGTAATTACAACCACGATTTCTCATTGTTCGATTCGAATTTCTCAAGCAAAGTTTAGTGAATTAACCAAGAAACGGAAAACGGAACCATACATAATACATGTAACAATCAATGTAAAAGAGCATGCAACTGTTCAAACTAGGACCCATAAAGCATTCATAATACATACACCCACTCACATTCGCCGACCATTTCAGCACTCGAAACCAGTGTACATAGATTTTATTGCATACTCCTAGGTATAAACTGCACCAAAGAAATAGTCACTCGACGAGCGAATAAATACATTTACATATAACTAGTGCGTACTTCAAGTTGGTGGCCATAACTTGCCAGACGATTGGTTGGGATCACGGCAAAGTGTGGAGTAGTAGCAATATGCGAATAGTTAATTTAATTAATATATGAATGCATAAACTAATTATCGGATATCGGATACGCCACTGCCGCACGCCACACCACGCATTTTAGTCAAATTTGAGATGAAAAGGTCAGATTCTAACTAATTTGCTGCATTCGAAACGCATTTCAATGGCTTACTGCAGACAGCGTTTTTCTAGCTTTTTGCAATTTGTATGTATGTAGCAGCTAAGTAGCTTAATTGACCGCATAAATGCAATTAAATTAGTCCACAAACCTATTAACTTGGTATGTAAATTAATATAAACAAAAAAAGGGAAAAGCATATAGAAACTTTCATATGGCTATTCGATTACAATTAGGGCGTAAGTGTACATAAATACGATTGATTTAGGAGCAGGAGAAACAGAATTGAATAGTGAGTCGCAGCATTAATAAATATATTAATACCCACATGGATACCCAAACTTGAGGGGTTTAATCTCGTACACCGAGCAGGGTGTGGCCAAGGTTGTTTTATGTAAATACACAGTCATTCGAAATCTCATGATATATGTACTTACAGTTCGATACTCGTATTGTTGCTTCACAACGCAAATGGCACCTTTCGTGTTTGGTTTTCCGGCACCCAGTACTATCCTCTTTGGCAATCCGAAACCGAAGGCCAAGCAGAAAACAAACGCACCTTAGATGCAGTCACACGTATGAGCTAGACGATAAGTGAATATTGTAATGAGATTAACAAGATAACGACGCCTACATATAAATAAATGTATAGGAAAATAACTTTACTTGATTTCCAAATAAACTCAGCCATATACAAGATACGCATTCAGCTTTTCTAGAATTAAATAAATGTGGACAAGGCGATCGAAAAACCAGAAAAGAAAAATAGTATAGACCTATATGTGTAATTAATACTGCTGTCAAAAGATTGGCCACCCAAAGCGATAAGTGAACTACAGTAAAATATAATTTGTGTTAATGTGAATGTAAATGGATGTGCAACAAGCGAAATAATTAATACAAAAAACACACCGCAGATAAAGTTTAAATCCCCAAACTTCCCTACCGCCCTTACCAAACTCCCTCTACGATTCCCACTCAAAAGTTGCTTTGGTCCGGCGACTAGAGCCCATCGATAAGTTAGCTAAATGATGATGTCGGTACTCAGTATATATACACCTGAATATAGCGATTGAGCCGTTACTTGTATGTGTAATTTACAGCTTAGTTATAGTTATTTTATTTTGTTAAATGCAACAAATACCAAATCTACTTTAAAGTAATAATAATACTAACCTACACCAGAACATTTTCGGTATTGAATGTATATGTGACTAGAAACCGTATGTGTATGTATATTTGATTATTTTGTAAAATTTTTCAAAAACTATAAATAAAGTCTATATTACCATATAAATGTAAACCCGAGGCTTCCACCTTTTCTGTGTTTTCTCATAATTTATGCCGACCTTTTCAGAATGTATTTTTCCACTTCTGATACTGGATTACCCTCCACAGGACGATGATGCTCATCAAGCACCCTTCTGTACTCCTTGGAGGCAACATTCGGAGGAGACGTTGCAGTATAAACACAGATGCAGATTCATGTTCAGATAGAAGTGCAGTTGGCAGCGCGACTTGGGCACAGTGTATTGTGCAAGGGCTGAGGGGCAGAACTCGTTGCGTAAATGCAAACTTGGTTTATTTTATTTACTCCATCCAGTTGTCATAGCCCAATGCAGCCGGCTCACCTTTTGTATGTTGCTCGGTGATGACGGTGTAGACATTTAAGTGAGCCGGCAGAGATGACGTCCCGTCCCCCGTCCCCAATCCCCCATCCAGCATCGGACAACCCAACCATCTGCCCGTCCTGCCATCCCACATGATGGAATGGAAATGAAAATGGAAAAGTTTTCATGCTGCCTCCTAGCACTCCACTCGGCTGCCAGATTGGAGTAGCAATGGTTACACAAGCACTGCTGGCAGCTCGAGGAAAAACTTTAAATGGAAAATTTGACAGACAGACATAACGGTATTTTAAATACGATCCGAATCACATGTGCGTCCCAACAGCATTGTGTGGCCATCAGCAGAGCTTAGGCCAGGCGATAGGTTATATAGTATACTCTGCTTACCTATTCCAAGTCCAAGGAGAATTTAAAGTGGGGATTTCTGGTGAGTAAATTGAAAAGTTCAGCCGGCTAATGAAATGCCTGGCCAGCATTAAAGAACGTGTGCGGCATAATATTACTACTCTCGCTGCATTCGTTAAATAACCTTAAAAATAAATACGTATAATTTCCCCAAAGCGGAATAAAACGAACAAAATTTGGAGAGCTCGTGCTGGCAGCAGCCCGGGAAAATTGCAAGGTGCAAATGGCATGAAATTACCGCAAAGAACTGGCGACCCAAAATTTCTTTCCCTGCCTCCTTTTACCCGGAATGGAAAGTGAATGAGAACGAGTGAATTGTGTCCTGGGCTGGGGAAGTGTAGAGGCCAAAACAAAACCCAAACAAGGCACCGCACCGAATCTTCCACATGTGCGTGTGTGCACCTCATTTCCGGCCATTGTTTTCGGCCCCGTACACGAGTCTGTTGCCTGCTGGGGCCGTTGTTCAGCCAGGTCCTGCTTTTGGTACACACAGAAAAATACTCGGAGAACCGCAGAAATCGTAAGTGTTTTAAGATCACTGGTCTATGTGTCCGAAATAACCCTGTAACTTTAGATTTAAGTTCGAATTATCTTATTTTCATGTTCACTGGCGAAGTTATTTTTCTAAATGCCTGCTTTGTTCACCTGAGGACCTATCGATTCTAGATTGACTTTGACCAATTTTTTTTTGAGATAATTGCATTTTTTTGTATGGGGTATCATAATGATATTTTGAGAATATCGTTCTAAAATGAAATTTTGTAGCTGTGAAAGCCAATTAATTGAACATTTTATAACGAATTCAACGAGGTATGACACTCCAACACTTGACTATTATTTCGTATGCTTTTAATTAAAACCTGAATCTCAAGTTGAATGTTTCGGGCTTTTGACCATAAAAAAAACTTTTTTAAAGTGTGTTTTTTCGTTCTAACTTATCCAAAATAAGAGGAACTTCATAATTTTTGCGAAAGTTGGTCAAAAATAAAAATTTTCAACTGGGAATAACAGTCGATTATAAATTTTTGCAACTAATTTAGCGAGGTAAGACCCTATATTATTAGACCATTATTTCCCATGGTTTTGATAAAAAAAAAACGCTGATCGGCATAGGATCAAATTGGATCAACTTGGGTAAATTTGCTGTTTTTTTATTTATTTAAATTGAAAAAAATAGAGTTGAGTCATTAAATGATTTTTTTAATAAAGAATTGAACAGTGAATAGCAAGGTATATTAATTGTTTCTCAGATTAATTTTTTTCGGTGCCCTGTCCCTGTTCCTGTTCTGCTTCCAGTTATGCTGGTTCTGGGTGCTGTTCTCAATGCCATTCTCGTTGCCGTAGTCGTACCCGTTCTACTTCCTGTTGTCGTTTGGCTGCTGTTTTCACGTTATGAGCTACTTGTTGTCCCGGTGCCTCTGCCCTGGCTTCCCCACACACACGGGCACACACGCACGCAAATGCTGATGCGGATCCGTAGGCCTACGTGTGTGCGACATGTTTACATAAAGTCCTTTACCGCTTCTAATGCATTATGGCAACAACACGAACGCCACTCGGCGCTGCTTGTATTTATCGTATGTGCCAGCCTGGAGCCTCGACCGGGCTAGTTGAATGCGACAAGCGGCAACAGGAGGAGGGGGGGCAGGGCCAACTGCACCACATGGGCACACAGGTTGAAATATCACAGACGCATCGCACTGACACGCTGGCAAAAACAAAAACAAAGACACACACAGACACACATACACACCGCTGCATAAATATTTGCATACGATATTTATTATGCTAAAAATAAGCCAAGATTTAAAAGCAGGCGAAATAAGGCCAACTTGGCTGTTGGGGAGAAAGCGGTGCATAATGAAGGCGAGGCGGGAAAAAAACAAATGTCATGACAACTCTCACTCAAGCAGCCTTCACACCAGCCGTTCGCCTTTGCATCCCCTTTGTGCCACCGGAAGTGGGTCACGTATGCACCTTAGTCTCCGGCAAAGTCGAGACAAAGCGGAGCTGCCTGTAATTAAGCCCGCTATGATGGCGTTGGCGTTGCCAAATGAGCTCGACATTTGTGCCTCAAGTGTCCGCGACGGATGCTGGGAACTCGGGAATACGATTTGCAGCGCCCCAACCACCTGGCACACTCACTGCGAAATTAACTTAAATTTTTAAAAGCTTAATTCGCTTTTCAGTTTGGTAAGCGGCGTCTAAGACGTCTGTAATGCGTTTAGCGATAGGCATTTGCATGCTTTTAGGCGCGCCGCATCTAGAAACAAAACAGAGGAGAACAAAAGGGAACAGGAAAAAAATAACAAAGGCCTGCCACTGCCATAAAAAGTGCTAAATCCATTTTGCAACAGACGGCCAACCCAGAGAACCCACCCATTGAATAGCCGGCAGAACGGCAGAATGGCTGTGCGTGTAACAAGTGCCACTCAAAAGGCGGGCTGGATGGAAACAATGAAGGCAGAAAGCACTTAATAGGCTGCCACAGCGCCGTTGACATGGCCATTTATATGCCGCAACTTGGCAGCGTTTTTAATTCATAATGCAAGGGAACAAGAGCGGCGGTGAGGCAGTGACGTGGCCCCTGTCCAGGATGTCAGAAGTCCTTTGCGACACCCGCCCTCGGCTCTAAGCCAAGCAGGATGCTGTCCACCGGTTGAGTGTCGCCTGTCACCGCCGCTTCCCATCGCTGACATCGCACTGGGCACATCGGGCATCGAGAGCTGAAAGTGATTCCATATTCGATTCAAATCTAGATCAATCTCTGTTCATCGAACGGCCGGTGTCATGCCGGCTCAACGTGGATTTTAAAATGAAAAGTCTAGTTTTGGCCACGTGCTAAAATTGTATCTATTTGCTGTTCGTCAAACTGACAGCTTTGCCAAGTTGATTATGATTCCGTGTATAGTTAGTTATTAAATTTAAGTCGATACAATGGCGGACAACTTGCAAGGGTCTAAAATTCCTATTTGGCATGAAAAGACAGTTCCTAAGCATAATAGTCTCTGTGCAATGCTCGTTAATGAAGAGGGGGAAAATAAGCCTTGCCTGAATAGTCCCTCGATTCCTTCGAGAAAAAGTCCTTTGTTCATTGGCCTTGCTATTCATAATGTTTGTTGCAGAAGTCCGGCTCTTTGTTTGCTCTTTAAATTGGGACATCGCTTCGTATACGTAATATCATTTATAAATACGCCTAACAACAGGCCCCATACGTATTGATGTGCAGCTAATGCGACCCCAGAGAATGACTGGGCAGCAGCAATGGTAGTGGTAGCATTGGAAAAAGCAGGAGCAGGACCAGGAGCAGGAGCAGGAACAGAATCTGAAGCGCTAACGAGCTGTGCCTTGGCTGCAATTGTTGCCAGAGCTGAATGCCAAAGCAAATAGCAGCTGAGGGGGCCACTGAAACTAAAGTCAAATGCAGCAAAAAGAATGGTAAGAAACGAGGAGCAGGAGCAGGAGTACAACAAATAGCAAGTTTGTTCGGCGCCAGGGACACCAAAAAAGGGGGCATGGTCAGAGGGCGTGGGCGGCGGCAACTGGCAACTGGCAGCCAAATCAGAAAATCGGATTTGCATGGATTTGTTGGTTTCTTTTGTTGGCGTAGAGTATCCTTGCCACTGACGCCAATGCTGTTGCTACTATTATGCTGCACAGAATTGTTGCTGTTGACTTTTTGTTATTTTTTCTTAATGTCTGCTCAATGAAAAAAACGGCTCCCGCTGCCTCGGGCATCGCCTTCGGTGCCCGCTGAATTTTGTTCTTTGTTTGTTTGTTTGTTTCTGCTAAATTGTGTTTTCCCTGTTCATTCATTCGTTTGGCTTTCCCATCCGTTTTCTGTTGCTGCGGAATTTTTCAGTGATTTTACATGTAAGCATCCTTGTGAGCTCTGTGGCATGTCCACAATTGAGGCAACCACTGCGATTCCTGCCAGAACGAGCTTGCCCTCTCGGACCGCCTCGCCCATCGCCCATCGTCCATCTCGAATCCCTGTCCGATTTTATATGTTTACCCCGCTTACAATTTGGTTCTCTGTTTCTCCTCTTTGAATACCCGGTAAATCCTTAGTTCGAGAGTATATTGTCTTCGTCCATTTGAATGGGTAATTTAAAATTGAAAGGGCTGTGACCAAATCTAAAAATACATCCAATTGTTAGAATGTAAGTAAAACCATTTAAAAATACACAAAAAATAGTATTAAGCTTACATTTCCACTTTTAAAAAACAAAATATTTTAAAGCACATTTTATATTTTTAACTTCCTGAA